CTCTCTGTCTCCATGAGTTCAAGGCAGCGGTTTTTTCAAAGCCTAGGGGAGGGACATGGGATTACTCATGCTACAGACTTTCCAGCTGATTGTACAACTACGCCCATGAAATTGACTTGATGATTTATTTAACATACTGCAAAAGTAAAAAATTATAAAATGACCATCATTTTGCCCTTTTTGATACATACTCAGATACTGAAAAGTTATGACAATAACCACTAGTGTCTATTGTGTGACTATTAACTGCTAGACACTGTGCTTGACATATATTATCTCTAATTCTCATGAAACTACTCTCAGGGAGTTATTATTTTCCCTACTTTACTTATGGGGACTAGGCTCAGAGGGATTGAGCAAACTTGCCCGATATCACACAGCCAGTATGCGGTTCAGCTGGTCTGACTCCATGGCTTGTGTTCTTTGTATTCAGTTCCTTTCTCATTCAGTAAACACGGAAAACATTACATACGGTGGATTTCATTAATCTTTTCCTTTCATTGCAAATACTAAAAATGTTATTAAAAAATAGAGAACTATAGTACACGATCTACATTGTATAGAATCTGGCTGGGCGCAGTGGCTTACACCTGTAATCCCAGCACTTTGGGAGGCTGAGGCGGGCGGATCATTTGAGGTCAGGAGTTCAAAACCAGCCTGACCAACATGGTGAAACCCTGTCTCTACTAAAATACAAAAAAAAAAATTAGCCGGGCGTGGTGGCACATGCCTGTAATCTCAGATACTCAGGAAGCTGAGGCAGGAGAATCACCTGAACCAAGGAAGTGGAGGTTGCAGTGAGCCAAGATCATGCCACTGCACTCCAGCCTGGGCAACAGAGCGAGACTCCCTCTCAAAAACTAAAAATAAAAAATGAATCTAAATTCTGCTTGCACTTCTTGTTGAAACTTTTCTTTTTCCTATGGTCTTTCAGTTTTTCTGATTAAGGAGAGAACCTTTTTTGTTGCCCAGGCTGGAGTGCAATGGTGCTATCTCAGCTCACCACAACCTCCAACTCCCTGGTTCAAGTGATTCTCCTGCCTCAGCCTCCCAAGTAACTGGGATTACAGGCATGCACCACTATGCCCAGCTAATTTTTGTAATTTTTAGTAGAGACAGGATTTCGCCATGTTGGCCAGGCTGGTCTCGAAATCCTGACCTCGTGATCCGCCCGCCTCGGCGTCCCAAAGTTCTGGGATTACAGGCGTGAGCCACTGCGCCTGGCCACCTTTTTAAAGGCGTCTCTATGTAAGTATCATCAGAAGTAGGCACTATCAATCTGAGCTGGGGCAAGAGCCAGTGGGCACCAATTTGGAGGCTAGCAGAGTGATAAAATTTACTTCACAACCTTTTAAAATAGTGTTCAGAGGCATAAGGAGCACAGAATCTTGGGAAACTAAATTAATTTTGTTCCAGAGCAGATCAGCTAGGGCAGTACAGGATTTTGGACCCTCTGTGTTATTAATAACCCTGTATTTCCTGAGTTATTAATAACAGTTAATTATTGATTATAACCTCTGGGCCAGTAGCCTGGGAATATGCATTTAGCAAGGGTCTCCGGGTGCTTTTTAAGCCCTTCGACATTTAGGTACCTAGTTTTAATAATCCTGTTGTTTTCACTTCAGCAGGTAAAACCGGGCAGCATCTTTAACAATTTCCTTCTTACAAATGAAGAGTTTGCTCAAAAAGTTGGAAATAAGACCCGGGGAATAAGAAAAGTAAGGTATTCCCCCACTCTGCATTCCAGATGTCTGACTCCTCAGTTGTTCACTGTTCTTTGCATTTCAAAAATCAGCCGCATAGTCTTTGTCTCATTTTTGGTCACTTGGCCCTGAGAGGTAGGAGAAGGAACTCATGTTCACTGGACATCTATAATTTTGTACTTGTGGCTCTGTCAGCACTTTCCAAATACTATCGCACTTAGCCCTAAAACAACCCAGCAAGACAGATATTATTACTTCCATTTTTCAGATGTAGGAACTGAAATTCAGAGTATAAAGTACCCAAAGTCATCCGCAGCCTTTGACTTGTTGAAGTTTTGCCTTCCCTTTTGATTCACAAACTATAAGAGTCTCTTATATTTTCTTTATAATTTTACTTTTCATGTTTATTATATTTTTAACCACCTAGAGTCTACTCTTGTATAGGATATAGAATTGTTGAAATATGGTAATTATACTATCCAAGCCTTAATGTATCAGTTTCTGAGAGGAGGATGTTCAAGTCTTCAGCTACAATTATGCATCTATTTTTCCCTGCAGTTTCTCTCTCTGTCTGCCTCTGTGTGTGTATATATAAGTATTTATATTTATATCTACATTTGTAAGAGACAGAGTCTTGCTCTGTCTGCACAGAGTGCAGTGGTGTGATTGTGACTCACTGCTGCTTCAAACTCCTGGGCTCAAGCAATCTTCCCACCTTAGCCTCTCGAGTAGCTACGACTACAGAAGTGCAGAAGTGTGCCACCACACCCAGCTAACTTAAAAACAATTTTTTTTTTGGCCAGGCACGGTGGCTCACGCCTGTAATCCCAACACTTTGGGAGGCCGAGGCGGGTGGATCACCTGAGGTCGGGAGTTTGAGACCAGCCTGAACAACAAGGAGAAATCCCCGTCTCTACTAAAAATACAAAATTAGCCAGGTGTGGTGGCAGATGCCTGTAATCCCAGCTACTCGGGAGGCTAAGGCAGCAGAATCACTTGAACCCAGGAGGCGGAGGTTGCAGTGAGCCGAGATGCGCCATTGCACTCCAGCCTGGGCAACAAGAGCGAAACTCTATCTCAAAAAAAAAATTTTTTTTTTAAGAGATGGGATCTTGCTCTGTTGCCCAGGCTGGTTTCAAACTCCTGGCCTCTCATGCTCATTTTGTGTTTCAGACTACCTACTCTAGTGCATTGATCTAGAAGGGAGCTACTGAGCTCATTTTCTTTTTCTTTGTTGTTTTGGTTTTTGTTGTCGTTGAGACAGGGTCTTGCTTCTTGGCCCAGGCCGGGGTATAGTGGTGAGAATACAGCTCACTACAGACTCAATCCCCGGGGCTCAAGCGATCCTCCTGCCTCAGCCTCTCAAGTAGCTGGGACTACAGATGCACGCCACCATGCCGGGTTAATTTTTTTTTTAACGTTTTTGTAGAGACGGGATCTTGCCGTGTTGTCCAGGCTGATCTTGAACTCCTGGGCTCAAGCAATCCACGTGCCCCAGCCTCCCAAAGTGTTGGGATTACAGAAAATAGGCCTAAGCTTATTTTCTGGTGGACGGCTACAAGAAAGAAGCAAGGTGATGAGTGCTGTTTACTGGCTTCCCCAGCCTCCTAGAACTATTTTATGGGTGGAGTGATACTTGGGGCAATGGCCTCATGACCCTGACAAGCTCTATCCAGATATCCTGGTTCTGCAGGAAGGTCCATTCAAAAGCAGGTTGTGGCCAATACTTGATTACTCAATAGGCGGATTAAGCTTATGCTTAGAGCACCCGCAAAAACACAGGCCCAAAAAAAATTTGCTTGTTTGTTTTTTAAAGAACTTTGATACTTAATATTTCCTTAAAAAAAAAAAAAAATAGAAAGACCAGGCGTGGTAGTCCACGACTATAATCCCAGCACTTTGGGAGGCTGAGGTGGGTGGATCATTTGAGGTCAGGAGTTCAAGACCAGCCTGGCCAACATGGTGAAATCCCATCTCTACTAAAAGTACAAAAATTAGCCAGGCACGGTGGCGGGCGCCTGTAATCCCAGCTACTCAGGAGACTGAGACAGGAGAATCACTTGAACCTGGGAGGTGGAGGTTGCAGTGAGCTGAGATGGGGCCACTGCACTCCAATCTGGGCTACAGCGTGAGCCACCGTCTAAAAAAAAATTGAAACAGTCATTCTGGGAAAAATTATTTGACCTTGTAATACTTTTTAGTCTGCTTTTGTCTTGTTTTACTTTAGGATTATATCTAAAATTGTTTTGTGAAGGTACTTTTTCGTATTGGTTAAGAGTTTGAATTTTGGAGCTAGACTGCTTGAGTTCAAATCCAGGCTGCATTATTTAGTAGCTGTATGAACTTAGGCAAGTTATTTAACCGCTCTTCATCTATAAATGGAGAATAATGATAGCCTCTATCTTATAAGTTCCTGGTATATAGTAAGTGCTCAATACATGGTAGTTATTATTATTAAACCATACATTCACTTGACAAGTACTTGAGTACCTGTTCAAAGCACTGTTTTAAATGCTGGGGTTATAGCAGTGAAATAAAACAGAGAAGTTTCTACCTTCATGGGGCTTACTTTCAGTTTGGGGAGATCGACAAGAAAAGTGTAAGGAAGTCTGAATCTCAGATCCCTCATCTAGAAAGTAGAACAAGTAACACACCTCATACTTTGCTGTGAGGAATGTAAATAACATGTGTAGATTGCCTATTATAGCACTGTGGTTAGCAATGCAGAAGGCATTCAATAAATGTTTGCTAAACTGGAACCAATTTTATTTATGAACAAACTACACACACACATACACATTTCTATTCACCCTACACATGCTGAAACTTTGTATATAAATAAACACTATCCCAGAAATCTTAACACTGTTGGAAGGCTGAGCACGGTGTCTCGTGCCTGTAATCCCAGCACTCTGGAAGGCTGAGGTGGGTGGATCTCCTGAGATTAGGAGTTCAAGACCAGCCTAGGCAACATAGCCAACCCCCATCCCTATGAAAAATACAAAAATAAAATTAGCCAGTTGTAGTGGCGTGTGCCTGTGGTCCCAGCTACTCAGGAGGCTGAGGTGGGAGGACCGTTTGAGCCCAGGACGTAGAGGTTGTAATGAACCAAGATGGCACCATTGCATTCCAGCTTGGATGACAGAGTGAGACCTCATCTCGAAAAATAAATAAATAAATAAATAAATAAATAAATAAATAAATAAATGATTATGGGAAGATGTCAGATATTTCTAAAGTTGGTTAACTTTGTTTATACTATCGGTAAATTATTTTGAAATTCCACATTCTAAACAGGACCTAAGAGAAGCAATGGAGAGAACTATATGAAGAAACTGGAAAAAGAAAGCAGGCAGAAGAGGCCAAGGAGAAAAAGGAAATGGAGGAAGAAGAGGAAGATGGCATTTGGGGAATTGAAGAAAAGGGAAATGAATTGGATCCCACTGCAGAGCCAGGAAATGACAGGCAGATGCAGGAACATGATGCTGACAGAGCATTTCTGGATAAAAATGAAAGAGTCCTTGTTGACCAGAAGGATGAACTGTAACTGGGATTATAGAGGCAAATGTTAGGAGGAGAAATATTCATGAGGTTGGTACAAATTGGGGAGCAAAATAACTTACTTTTTTGAAATAAACTTTGGATTTGTATTTCCATCCCACTCCCTTTGCTCTGTGAGACCTGGGGAAAGTCACACTGCCTCTTGGGGCTTCTATTTCCTTATTAGTGGAAAGGGAGTGATCATTTCTCTTTTATGAGGTTGTAGGGATTAAATGAACTAATGTATGTAAAGTGCCTGATACAAATATGTAGTCAAAAAATGGTTGCTATCACTACTATCATTATTATGGAGTTTATGAAATTAGTTATCAGTAAATAAACTTCTGTATAAACTTAATCCTCACTTTCAATTTATCCCAGGACACCCAAGGATTTTATTTTGTTTAAATGTATGGGGCCAGGCACAGTGGCTCACGCCTGTAATCCCAGCACTTTGGGAGGCTGAGGTGGGTGGATCTCCTGAGGTCAGGAGTTTGAGACCAGCCTGGCTAACATGGTGAAACCCCATCTCCACTAAAAATACAAAAAACTAGCTGGGGTTGGTGGTGGGCACCTGTAATTCCGCTACTTAGGAGGCTGAGGCAGGAGCATTGCTTGAACCTGGGAGGCGAGGTGAGCCGAGATTGCGCCATTGTGCTCCAGCCTGGGAAAAAAATAAAAATAAAATAAAAAATAAACAAACGTATGTATTAGTATTTACTGAGCAGTGCTGATGGTTATACTTGTGGACAGATGTTGTTTTCCTCTTGCAGATGTATCAAGCACTTAACAACTAGATTTCCTCCTAACATAAGAAAAAGTACTTTGTGAAAATCCATTTGCTTTTGTGCTGTTTTGTACCCTAACTTTTAAATAATTGTCACTTGTTTGCAAGTTTGCTAGTCTCATATTTATTTTTTTCTGTACTACCTGCTCACACATCATCACGCACATTCTTGTAGCTCTTTATAGATTAGAAAGCACTTTGCCTTAAATTCGTGGAGCTTCTACAATGTGCTCATCTAATCCTCATAGCAGCCATTGTAGAGGATACCATTCTTATCTTCATTTTACAGATGTGGAAACTGCTCAGTGTGGGTAAGTCACTTGCTCAAGGTTAAACAGCTAGTAAGGGACAGGACCAGTGTCTCGAGCTTCTCTGGTTTCGAAGCTTATACTTCCATAAAACAACTCAAAGCACTATAAAAGAAAACAGTTTATCCTTCCACTGCACCAGGCTGTGGAATGAGTGAGTGAATATCTATTACTATTGAATACATAAAGTAGGCAACATTCCATGTGGAAAAAAAATGTCTTTTTAAGTGCTTTTTGTTTTGTTTTGAGACAGAGTCTTGCTCTGTTGCCCAGGCTGGAGTTCAGTGGCACAATCTTGGCTTACTGCCACCTCTGCCTCCAGGGTTCAAGCCATCCTCCTGCCTCAACCTCCTGAGTAGCTTGGGACTACAGGCGTGTGCCACCACATCTGGCTAATTTTTGTATTTTTAGTAGAGACAGTGTTTCGTTATGTTGGCCAGGCTAGTCCCTAACTCCTGACCTCAAGTGATCTGCCCATCTCAGCCTCCCAAAGTGCTGGGATTACAGGTGTAGGCCAGTGCACCTGGCCTTCAAGTGTATTTTTAAATGACTGTATCCAACAGCCATGGAGTCAGACCCACAGACATGGCTGTCATACAGTTCAGTAAATGATAAGCCCGGGCTCTGGAACATAGTAGGTGCAGGATCTGGAACATAGTAGGTGCTCAGTAAAAATTAGTTGAATAAATGAACACATTTCTGCCTGGTGGTTTTGGTGGTTTGAGAAAAGACTTCATGAAGGAAGTGACTTTTGAGGCAGATCTTAACGAATGCATGAGTGTGCATCTTTTGGGGAAGGTTAAAAACAAAAAAGAGTGCACGAGTCTGCCCAAAGGAGAAGGGGATGTGTGGACCAGATTTCAGAGTCAAAGAGCAGAGCACCAGATGACAGGAAGTAGGGTGGTGAGGTCAGGGAGGAGCAGCAAGAACTTCTTCCTTCCTCCCTGTAGACTGGTGCCTGGTGTGGTTTCTAGACCTTACAATCTTTATTCTGGTTTGGAAAACTTGACTGTATACCTATTTCTACAGCCTAAGAATCTTCCTGTTGTGAAAAAGAGCTAAGCTTCAGGGGCTGAGTCTAAATATTTTGTTTTGGGGGCTGGAGGACCGGTGTGGCTGGTGATTTATATTTTAGGGATGCCAGTCTGATATTGGCATTGTTTACTATAAATGTCTGCTCTATTGCTCAGGTGTATGCTCTACCAATTGTTACATGTTTTCAGTATCACCGGATGAAGATATTTTTAGGCAGGATTTTGTAATCCTTGTTTACAGTAAGGATTCATTTGAATATTTTTTAAACCTACTGCTCTTACCTTTGATAAATTTTCTTTTGCCTTTTATTTTGATTGATTGTGCATACACTGTTTCAGACATTATGGTATGCCAGGCATGGTGGCCCACACTTGTAATCCCAGGACTCAGGGAGGTCAAGGCAGGAGGATCACTTGAGTCTGGGAGTTCCAGACCAGCCTGGGCAACATAGTAGAACTCCATCTCCATGAAAAAATTAAAAATTACCTGGGCATCATGGTGCATGCTTGTAGTCCCAGCTACCCTGAGGTTAGAGGATTGCTTGAGTCCAGGAGATAGAGGCTTCAGTGAGCTGAGATGATGCCACTGCACTCCAGCCTGTGCAACAGAGCAAGACCTTGTCTCAAAAAAATAAAAATAAAAATAAAAACCAGGCCCAGTGTGTTGGCTCACAAATGTAATCTCAGCACTTTAAGAGGCCAAGGCAGGAGGACCACTTGAGCCCAGAAGTTCAAGATCATCTTGGGCAACACAGCAAGACTCTATCTCTATAAAAAATAAAAATTAAAAAAAAACCCAAATCAAACAAAAGAAAATGATAATTTTAACAAGAAGAAAATGCATGCATAATTCTATCCATTCTGCACATAGACTGAAATTTTTTGTGTTTCTTTCCAGGACACATCTTTTGAACACCACCATTCCACCACTGAACCATACTCCTCCAGATGATTTTTTAAAATTATGATTGTAAATTTATTTTTGCAAATTAATAGGTATTCAGCGTAGAAATCTGGAGTCAACATATGTATTAGGAAGAAAGTTAATATTATTATTGTATATTATACAATATTATTGTATTTCCTTCCAGTTTTGGGGATTTAATTAATCACACTACTTAGTACATAGTACTTTATCATCTTTGGTTGGTGACAATGTCACTTCTAAATTTCATTTTATTTTATGTATATATATATATATTTGAGATAGGATCTCACTCTGTCATCCCAGCTGGAGTGTAGTAGTGCAATCTTGGCTCACTGCAGCTTCGACCTCTTGGGTTCAAGGCGATCCTCCTACCTCAGACTCCCAAGTAGCTGGGACTACAGCTACAGCTGCACACCATGGCCAGCTAGTTTTTGTATTTTTAATAGAGATGGAGTTTCACCATGTTGCTCAGGCTGGTTTCAAACTCCTCGGCTCAAGTGGTCCACCTGCCTTGGCCTCCCAAAGTGCTGGGATTCGCAGGTGAACCACCGTGCCCAACCTATTTGTTAATTTTTTTCTCTTTCATTCCCTTTCTCTTCCCCACTTAGATAACGAAGTTTTATTTAAAGTGTCTCTTATTTTAATTTGTATCTGTTCCTACAAGAAGTGAATTTTTGTTTTGTATTAACAGATTTTTAATTTCTGCAAATAACGTTTTAATCTCATTTTGTTTCTTCATATTTTTCACTGAGCACTGTTTTCAAATGCATTCATCTTGCTGTGTATGCATCTAATCCATTGCTTTTGATTGCTGCATAATATTTTACAATACAACATCTACCACACTGTAGCTATCTCCTCTCCATACGATAACCAGGTTGTCTTTGAATGCCTACCACCATAAATAGCACACAATAAATATTTTAATGCAGAACCCCTATATGCCTGCATAAGAATTTCTTTGGGATATATCCCAGGAGTCTAACTGCAAGCTCATAGAGTGTATGAGTTCTGAATTTGCATGCTTCATGTCAGATTGCGCTCCACAATGGCTGTACCAGTCCATACTCCCACCAGAGTTCCAGCATCCCCACAACTCCCCCAGCTGGCATTATCAAGCATTCTAATTTCTGTAGCTTAGTAGATGTAAAAGGATAGAACGTTGCTGATTTAATTAGCATTTCTGTGGTACTTTGGGCATCTCTTCATATGCCTTTTGATTTTTGGAATTCCTCTCTGTTTATGTTTTTTTCCTGCCTTTTTTTGGTGATAATGTTCATGCCAACTATTTGTATGTTTTGCTTTTATTTTTTCCTAAGGGTTGCTGCCCTCTTATTTATTTACCAGAGTTATGTGTGTTGCATATTTCGAACATATTCTTCCATTCTCTTATCTAGTTATGTTGTGCCTTTTTTTTTTTTTTTTCTGAGACACAGTCTCGCTCTGTCACCCAGGCTGGAATGCAGTGGCGTGATCTCAGCTCACTGCAAGCTCTGCCTCGCGGGTTCCCACCATTCTCCTGCCTCAGCCTCCCTAGTAGCTGGAACTACAGGCGCCTGCCACCATGCCCGGCTAATTTTTTGTATTTTTAGTAGAGACAGGGTTTCACCGTGTTGGCCAGGATGGTCTCCAACTCCAGACCTCATGATCTGCCCGCCTCGGCCTCCCCAAGTGCTGGGATTACAGGCGTGAGCCACTGCGCCTGGCCACGTTGTCTCTTATCTAGTTATTTTGTTCAACAATGTTCTTTGTTGAACAGAAATTCTTAATCT